ATTCTTGTTAATATTCTTATATCTTTATTATGTATTTTTATTTCTATAGTTTTTAATACTTTATAACTTTCATTTTTAGAAGTTCTATTTTGAAAATAACCATCACCGTCTATTATACCAGCGAATCATAATCAAAATTTATTATCATTTATAAGATCTTTATTTAAATTGGGCAATTGACGTATAGTCTCTGAGAATCCTTTAATGTTTTCTGCTGATTGTGTATCTGTACTATAATATCTTTTAGATATTTTAGGATATCTTTTAGATATTTTAGTAACAAGTTTATTATTATTTTGACTATTATTATTAAATATATATTTATAACCTAAAATATATTGTCCCAGGGGGGCAATATATGCCAGTAGTGGCACAATAGGAATATATATATTATTTTCATCTATTTTGTAAAGATATCAATAACGTAAAGTTATAAATAATAATAGTAAATAAAAACTTAAAGATAACATTTCCAGCATATAGTCAATTTCAAGTAAATAATTAATAATCCTATAATTATATACAAGGGCCATTCCTTGACCAACTACGTAATAAGTATCATGGAAAGCTACATCTATAGATGCATTTGATAACATTACTCCTGTTAATCCTCCTATAGTGAATAAGAATAAGAAACCTAATGCAAATAACATAGGTACGTCTAATCTTATTTCTCCTCCATATATAGTTGCTAATCAAGAGAATATTTTTATACCTGTAGGTACAGCAATAACCATTGTAGCAGATGTAAAGTAAGCTCTAGAATCAATATCTAAACCTACAATATACATATGATGACTTCATACTAAGAATCCTAATAATCCAATAGAACCCATAGCATATAACATTCCTATTTCTCCAAATATAGGTTTTTTACTATAAGTTGATACTATATGAGATATTATTCCAAATCCAGGTATAATTAAGATATAAACTTCTGGATGCGATATAACTATTTATATAGTTATATTGGACCATATCTTTAAATAAAAGATCTATTTATTCATTATAAAATATTATTCATAATATTTTCATTTATTTAAAAATATATTTCAACTTTTAAATAAATAAGTATTATATAAAGCTAAATGAGCTTTCATATTTTTTAATTCATAAAATTTAGGTATAAGATGTAATCTATTACATTTAGCAGATCTTGATGGATTAATTTTAAAATATTCAATTAAATTTAATATATCTTCTTTTTTAGTAATATATCATTTAAAAGATTTACTTTTACCATTATCAATATAAATATGACCTCCATATAAATCAATTAAAGGTTGTAATAATTCAGTTGTTTTTTGACTTATAGATATAGATAACTGATTATTAGTATTGTTGATAGTAACAGTACCATCAGCATCAAAGAAACCAGCTAATCAATTATTATCATGAGTTAAAGGTTTAGGTCAAATAATATCAAAATTATATTTAATAC